GATGAGGGCTCTCCACCTCTGTCGTCCTCTAAAGCTATTCAGTTGTCTGTTGCTGACATCAATGACAACCCACCTGTGTTTGAGGAACAGTCCTACAGCGCATATGTGAGTGAAAATAACAAACCTGGCTCGTCTTTATGTACTGTTTCTGCTCGAGATCCTGACTGGAGACAAAACGGTACAGTGATTTATTCTCTGTTACCTGGTGAGGTGAACGGTGCCTCGGTGTCCTCCTATCTATCTGTTAATGGAGACACAGGAGTGATCCACGCTGTGAGGTCATTTGATTATGAACAGTTCAGGAGTTTTAAAGTCCAAGTGATGGCCAGAGACAATGGTTCTCCTCCTCTCAGCAGCAACGTGACTGTCAGTGTGTTCATATCTGATGTAAATGACAACTCTCCTCAGATTTTGTATCCCGCTGTGGAAGGCAGCTCCTTCATGACTGAGTTAGTCCCTAAAGCTGCACATGGAGGGTCTCTGGTGTCCAAAGTGATAGCAGTGGACGCAGACTCTGGACAGAACGCCTGGCTGTCCTATCACATAGTCAAAGCCACAGATCCTGGACTTTTCAGCATTGATCTGCACAGTGGAGAGATCAGGACACAGCGGGACATTTCAGAATCTGACAGCATGAAACAGAACCTGATTGTTGCAGTGAAAGATAATGGACAGCCCTCTCTGTCTGCCACCTGTGCCATGTTTTTACTTATTTCTGATAACTTGGCTGAAGTGCCAGAACTGAAAGACATTTCTTATGATGAGAAGAACTCCAAGCTGACCTCTTATCTGATCATTGCACTGGTTTCTGTGTCCACCTTCTTTCTGACCTTCATCATCATCATCCTGGGTGTGAGGTTTTGTCGCAGGAGAAAGCCCAGACTGTTGTTTGATGGAGCAGTAGCCATACCAGGAGCTTATCTTCCTCCAAATTACGCAGATGTTGACGGCACAGGAACTTTACGCAGCACCTACAATTATGATGCCTACCTGACAACAGGATCTAGAACCAGTGACTTTAAGTTTGTATCATCTTACAATGACAACACGCTGCCTGCTGACCAGACTCTGAAGAAAAGTCCAATTGATTTTACTGATGTGTTTGGAGTCTGTGATGATTCCCCAGAGGTATGAATCTTATAAGTATTCATAATTATAGGCTGCAGTCTAAGAAAGACTGTAAATACACTTACCCACCACATTCTTGGCCCTCACACTCTCCTTATTTCAATCTCACCCTTTATTGATTATGTGTACCTTAATTTTAACACATTTCTGTCTTAATTTTTGTTAATGCACTCATATTTATTGACACTGAACAGTAGTCTTCAAAATATTGTTACATTTATGCCAGTCTTTCATTTGTCCATGTTCAACACCTTTGTTTGTTTTCAGCCACATTTCAACTTTGGTTTTAAAATAACGTTTTCCATATCCATGTGTCATAGCATTATTTTAGTTGAAATTTACAAAATAATTTCTCTTTCCTACATGCACAAACTAATGAATCACCTTTGCTGATGTATTTCACAGAAAAAAATCCAATTGTTCTCATTTACTCTGTATTCCATTAGTTCTTTTTATCGCATAAGACTCTTTTTTGTCATTTATAGACATTATTTTAAAATGTGTTATGTTTGTGAAGGTATTCTATGACCAGCCTGCTTTTCTCATTGACATTCGACATGCAGAGTGTGCCAGTTCATCTTTACAATTGAGTTTGTAATTGAATTTTAAAACACTTTAAGACTAAATTCAAGATCAAGCTTCTAAATAATACTATTACCATAACCTTTATAATTTTGCACAACTGAGTTACGCTAAAAATATCAAATTAATTCAAAAGACTCAAAGATCAATGTCAGTCTTATTCCCAGATATCAAGTTAGAAGATGCTGAATCAGTGAGAAAAGGATTGTGTTAATTCGTCAGACACACTTTTTTGTTTCTTTTGTGTATTCCATAAGAGCAGATCAAACAGGCTCACATAGGCTAACGTACTATTTTCTTTTAATTTTGTTTTCATCTTATATGTATATTTTCACTTAGAGTTCAAAAGCTCATGCGTAGATTCTCTGCTAACATAGGAACTTAGAAATAAAGTACTTCTTTCTTTTTAGTGTAGGTTAGGCTTTCTCTCATTCTTTCTTTCAAACCATGCTTTGAGGCTTTTTTTGTCTTCTTTGATTGCAGTGATTTTTCTGATTGTTGTTTCAAAGTCTAACTGAGTCATATTCTATGTTTTATGTGTCTTTCAGTGGTCACATCAGATTTTTTTTTTAAAGTATAGTTGTTTAGTTCTGATATTATACCTGCACAGAAATATACTATGTTCTAAGCGTAATGATTACCTGTGGCTCTTCACATTCTTTGAACTGTAAGGTACAGCCATGTTTCAAAGATATAAAAAATCATTAGCCTGAACAAGAGGTAGCATTGGGAGTAATGAATATGTCTTTCAGTATTTTATAGATGTGTTTTAATTGCTAACATAATTTTTCATTGAATAGTGGGATGCTAAAAACGTTGTTTCATGTCATTTGGTTTGTGATCTCTAAAATGAAATGTTTGTCACAGATTATAACAAATATTAAGACAGAATGCTTTAACAGAGCTAATGAATTACATTACTTTGACAGAGCTTTTGTGTCTACAGAACTGATGTTTTTACTCATGCCTTTTTGATTGATGTGGCAAGCTAGTTTTATTCATGATGAAATACTAACAGCTGCAGTATTTTTAAAATGAAACCGTGTCTTTGTACGAAATGGAGTAGAATCGTTTTTAAAGTCAAAGCAGTGTTTTGACATTTTTAGTATCGTGTGGAAAAAGTTAGCAATTTACACAAGCTGTGATGGGAATTTCATATAATCATTGAGCTGCTGTGGACAATTTGTACTTTTGGACTGAGTTCCTTTTTACTTTGATGATACCACGTCACTCTGGTATTTGTAGATCTATAAGAAGACTGAAGAGATGTTAAGGAGATTAATTGATCCTATTTTAGATTAGTCACTGTTGCAATTAAGAAGAAATCAAGAACAACAACAATGCATTTTGTCATTTAATATTCAAAAGGCCAAAACAGCGTTTTGAAGTCTCTCATAACAGCTGAGAGTGAAAATTAAGACTACAAGCAAACTTCTTATAGATGGCTTTTTTTTACTTCCACTTTATACATCAGTATCCTATTCTGAGAAGGAAAAAAAAAAAAAACACTCTCTGCTGGTATCTGGTCCACACTTCTTCTTTCCACGAAACACACATTTGAGACAGTTTGTACATAGATAAACATAACAATCTACTGAGTTTCATTTTCCTATGTCAAACAGAAAGTATTAGGTTAAAATTAAAGTTTATGATTTAGTTTTCCAGCCACAGAGATTATCAATCCAGCTCACAAATATATGTTGTAATAATTGGTGGGAATCAGGCCTGCTGTCTTCTCCGCTGCTGAAGAAAGATTGCTCAGTAGAGCAATCTTGTGAAGTACTATGAGGTGACTGTAGGTGCCATTTGGTGCTGCAATGTAGTGTCTTGATATGCAGCGGTCATACGTCTCCTTGTGTGTGCAACAGTTTTCCTTCGCCTCAATTGTCGTTTTCTCAGGAGTTAGAGCAGTTGACTGGGAGAAAGATCTGATTTGATCTGCTGTGGTGGAGAGTGAATGGAAGTGGGAAACATTTTTTGTAAGGCAGCTTACAAAATTTAAGATGAAAACTGTGGAAGGTTTGGATGTGTAGATGCTAAACTTGAACTGAAGATATTTCGGTGATCTTTTCTGTAGGAACTCAAGATGTCGCTACATACCAGTCTAAAATGTTAACACCTCTCTCCTTTGTCAACTCGCAGTCTATGCGCCTTTGAGCTGTTCACAATGACGGTGCAGTGGGGCTAAGCTGTGGTGTAGACTTTGTTTTTATATCTTCATGAGAAGTTGATTCATCTGAAACATTGGCTGATTTACACCGGATATTTGAAAATGGATTTGCACAAAAACGTTTTTGTGTCGTGGAGCTGCTACGCATTTTTTCTGCTGAACGTAGCGCATGGAGACATGAGCTATTCTTTATCGGAGGAGATGAAACGAGGTTCAGTTATTGGAAATATCGCGAAGGAT